TTTTGACCTTAGTGCAGTTACACTTTCATGGACATATCTACTACACAAAGATCAAAAATTATTTTATAGTAAAAGCTAAATTAATCGCTAAAATGTATTAGAAATAGTTTACGACCTCTTCCTAAATCTACAGCATAATAACGTCACAACCTTGTGTATAAATCTCAATACTTTGTAAGTATCGCGCTCCAAGCCTCCATATTTTATGAATTAAATCTATTGATACAATAAGTAATTGTATTAAAAGTACTCAACAAATCATTAGACACTTCAAAAGAACAGCAAACAAAACCTAAATGTTATTTATATCAAGGGTTCAGAACGACGCCAGCGAACCCGTCACGGCGTCGTTTTTATTTCCACTAGAAGATATCGTATTGGGATGAAATTGAAGAGAACTGAAGAGTTGGTAGCAATTGCCTTCTTTTTTCCACCTCTTCTCGAACCTCAAGAGAATGCAGTAGACCAGTTACATCCGATGTGGATGCCAAATAACAAACTGCGTAGACTAGCAGTTGGCTGCAGCTCAGCACCGAACCTAACGCCACAACTTGAAGATAACAAAGCAACCGGTTAAGACTTAAGACGCTATTATCGACGTAATTTTAATAACAGTCATATATATTGAAACGCGTGACATTTAGGATAGGTAAATATGTATGCTAAACAAGACATCGCCATTACATGCCACAAAAATCCCTTTTCTATTAATATTTTTGGGGGCTTTGCTTGTGCGATTATGTAAAAGAATGAAGGAAGTGTTATAAAGGTGCACAAAGTTGATTAGAATTGATGACTTTCGGACATCCGAATTCTTGGTAAATTCCAGGACTTTCAACAAGTGAAGAGATAAATTAGAAAATACATGCAACAATGTAACAGTTGATAGGTCTCATCATAATATAAAATGCTCGTTAGTAACTCTATAACTTTGTACTAATTCACTGTATAGATGTTTACATCGCCTCAATTTAAATAGTCACAAATCATTGCTAAATGTGCTAAATGTTAACAAATCTCACTCTTTGAATAATTTAAAACGGTCTAGGCGAACTAATAAAACTTATTTGATAACTTCTAACCTATTTAAAAGAAAAGTCTAGTTAAATTACTCTTAAGACATAAACCGTTACTGAAAAAAGACTAAATTGGGTGGTTTAATTGTTTCCGGAGTTCTTCTGTAAGTTCCGTATGGTTGCTCTGAGGAGAATATTTTATATTCTGCCTTTATGATTGTTAATTTGGTAGGCAATATGTATCTACTTATTTTTTTATAGACAATTTATGCATTCAATCGACCATGTACAATTTCACCTTCTTTCACTAATATATAATTTTCGTATATTATCCTTTGACAAACAGTTCGAAACAAGGGGCTGATCTAGTGATGTGCTAAACGGCGGTAAAAGATCGATAAAGCAAAGCTAATATAGATTAACAAATAAAGTATACAACAGCCTTATATTTTACGATGATTATGTTAATACAGTCAGTCGAGTCGAATACAGACTTGTTTCGATAGAGTATTTGTACCATACAGTTCTCTCTGGAAATCGTTAACGCTAGTTTCGATTCAGCGCTAAGTATTTAAAGCTAGCTAAACTGATTTATATAAGAAATCTATACACTAAACAAATATTAATGTACTTTTAAAGACAAGCTGAGTAAGTACTATAGAAATTGAAGTAACTCATTGGATCGATACGTTAACTTCGCGAGCTCTTCTTTGTATTTAATAACTGTCTGTTATAAAATGCTATGTAAACAACATTTGAAAGATTATTTTTAGAAGAAATTATTGGGAATATTATTAATTCGATATTTCGGTGCGGAAATAGGTCTTAGCAAGATAGAGAAATTATTGAAACGGTTCATCGGACGCAGAACAGCAAAAAGTCAAGTCTGAGTGCTTTATTGCATCTTAATGACGACAAGATGTCATTATACGATAGGGGCGAACTTCGCAAACTATTTTTAAGACCGTTTTAAAACTCAACCCTTATATATATATGTTAACATAAAATATGTTATAGCTTGCAACATAAAATTATTGTTAAACTTCAAAAATCGCTAAGCTTTTTGAGTAAGCTGAAAACTGTTGCTATAAATACGTCGCTTGTCACAAATTAGTTAATTTTTTTTATCGTAACATTGAACATTTTCAGGAATGAAATTAAAGACACCTTACTTGTTTAGTTACTATTGTGGTACGATCAGCGATTAAATTCAAATATATTTAAGGCACTGTGAAATGATGAATAATCCGTAATAAATGCATAATATCCATTTCTGCAGTATTTTTAATTTAAATTGAAAATCGATATTTCTGTGTATTTTTCATCGTTGTTAAAAGAGAACGGATACAATATTACTTTGTGAAATTTTTAGCGAAACATTTGGATGGTGTTTAAACATTATGCAAATTTGCGACATCTGATTTCGAAATATTAGTGTTTTTGGCCGGATATAATCGAGGATTTAAATGGAATTTAATATATTGAATGGAATATAACAGGCTGTTCGTTTTTTATTTAATTACAAAGCTTTACTTTAAAGGTAACTTCAGAGTTAAAGTACCGTCGCTATGATCGCATTCAGCCTAAACCCTATTGGCTTGGAATAGAGTCCAAAATTAGGTTCAAAGTATAAAAATGTTGTAAATACGACATATAGAGCAATCATATAAGAGTTTAATTTAGTACAAAAGGGTATTAAGGCAATTTTTAGTCCATATAATAAACTTAGCATCCTGAAATACCTAAGACCTATTATTGCTTTAAATGAGGTAATGCAAATATGCCGATCAGCGAATCTAAGCTTAAAATGCTAAATATTTAGATATTTCTTCACGCGTTTCTAATGGCCATAGGGAATCAATAGAGAATATAAGCATGTGCCGCCCGCAAAACCGAATTTATGAATTATTGCAAAACATACATGTATATAATAATGTCTTTCATCAATTTACCTCTTCCATATCTCCGTTAACGATACAATTGCATTCATTTGACATATTATGCATGGGGGAAGACAGATTATTTTAATTGTTTTATATTCGCACGTAACAATGAAGCTATGAGCAATAATATAAATAAATCTTGTGAAAATTTTAATGATTTAACTTAAACTAAGGACACATCTTGACTATGTTAAATTGGTAAGGTTGTAAATTAAGTAAAACACAAGAATGTGATGTGTTCTTAGTTATGATATATTTAACTAAGAAATATTTTGTCTAATTATTGCATTCAAAGCGATTCTATTAAAATACTTATAAAATATATTAACATGAAAAACTCTCTCGTGTATATATTGCGTTAATGGGGTTATGTATAAATAAATAAAAATAAATGTCTGATATAAGAGGTCTGTTCCTCGTTGTCTGTTTGTCTGTTCCTTCGTGATATAAGGTTAGGCGAACTTTCTTCCTGTCTTAGCGTCCTCTTTTGGTACGAATAGCCAAACGGACTTCCTGGATTAAGCAGGTTTCCGGGACGCCTTACTCTTGTTTTCGAGTTTTCTTCACGTTCGTTTAATCAGCTATATTCGTTGAAATTCAGCGTTATAGGGTTGTGGAAAGACCATCGAAATGATGGATACGGCATTCGGGATGGGTGCATGAGCGAAACGGAAAAGTTTTAAAAGCGGTTAAAAGATGGTTGTACACCTGTTGATAGCAAGATTTAAGTTGATAGGGCCTTGGATAACAATGTCTGAATATGGCGAACGTGTGAATTGTGAATTAGTGCTAGGAGGGCTCCAAATGATAAATTTGCATATGGCACGTGTGCGAAGACACGAAGGAAGATCGGATTGTGTTGGGACAGATGTATGTAATTATATTCTCTAATATGTCAATTCGTATCTCATTTCGGCGACAGGCGTAAGTTGGCATCAAGCAGCGACTTTTCAATACCGTTTATAATATTATTAGACTTTACGGCAGCAAGCAGGCTGGCGTTTCACCTGATGTTAAGTGATAGCCGCCGGCCAGTGACATTCGCAGATGCGTTGCCACCTTTAAATAAAGTAGACCCTGGCCACTCCACTCACCAGAAGAAACACAGCAGTATAATATTTCCACTTTACGCCGGCCGTCTGTGTACTTCCCGAACGGACCTGCCCATTCATGCATCAGCGAAGACTGTTGCGTGACCCTATCACATAATCTATTTATCTAGACGAAATTTTCAGAGCAATTTACACGTAGATGAATAGATTTTATGATCTAGATCAATTTTGTATGTACCTTTCAACCTTTAAGGAGTGAACAGTGATAGCTGATGCTATGCACTTCATCCGTTATAAGTTGGTGGTGACGAGCCTGTCGCCGACAGTTATTATTGCACGGGAGAATTCCGAAATTAAACCCTAACACAACTGCAAGCTAACCGTTCGTGAATCGCGTGTCAAACAAATATTTCTAATTGATTTTTAACGGTGGTAGGGCCACGCAGCAGCCTCGGCTGTTGCACGAATGGGCAGGCCCGTCCGGGTAAGTACCACAACCTCTGAGTGAGGTAGCCGGAGCCCAATTTTCAAAGGTTTGTCAACGCATCTGTAACCCTCGGGTGTGGCAGATGTCCATGGGCGGCGGTATTCACTTAACATCAGGTGAACCGTCTGCTCGTTTGACAACATAAAATAAATAAAAATAATAAATAAAATGATATAAAACCGAAAGCATACTTGCAACATTGGCGTATTCAATCGTTTGAATCGGTTTCATACAAATACACAGACGCGCACGCGCAATTCTCTATTGATTCCGTATGAAGCCGCGTCGCTGGCAAACTAATCCGGTTGTGATAAAACGACGCCATCGAAAGTGCGTCGAGCGGTCGCCGTCGCTCAAGCGATGCTTAGCGATGGCATAGCACTGTACAAGCTGTAGCGGCCGCGGAGTCTACACGGTGGAAGGCACGACGCTACGGCGTAGCGGTCGATACGGGGCGCTACGGCGTAGGTGCGGGTGGCCGCTAGCGGCCGGCGCGGCGTCAACGGCGCCACGAGCGGTCCTCCTCTTCGCCCTCCTCCTCCTCCTCGTCGAAGCGTAGCAGCGTCTCCTCCGAATCCCGCTTCTGTGAGAGGTCTCATGTTGGCAAACTGTTCACAGTGGCAATGCTACGCAGCAGACTCAGTTGTTGCACGAATGGACAGGCTCGTCCGAATAAGCACTACGACCTCAGAAAAGACCGGCGTAAAGTGGAAGTATAATACTTTCGCGTTTCGTCTGATGAGCGAGTTTGAGGAGCCGGAGCCAAATTTCCAAAAGGTTGTCAACGCATTTGGACCCCTCGGTTGTAGCAGATGTCCATGGGCGGCGGTATTCATTTAACATCAGGTGAACCGTCTGCTCGCTTAGCAACTTTTCACATTAAAAAAAGTGATAAGCGAATTGACTGGCAACAATGATAAAAGTATTTCGAATATATGCAAAGTCCACTGATTTGTTGTGGGGTTATGTGGTGGACTGAGCCTCTGAAGTCTTGTTTTATGATAGGCATTATTACACCCACAGTACACAAAATAGCCACAGTCAATCAATAAAATAGCTTCCATTAAATGTCATTGATATCTCACTATATGTTACATATATGTAATTATATGTTACTGCACTTTAAACAGTTTCATATTCCATCAAGGTTTACGTTACTTTTGTTCCAAATTGGAGGTGCCCTGCCTCCAATTTGAAACAGCAGTAAACTATCTTTCTTTCACCCAACTATTGTCATCACCAATATAAAGTCTCCATTACTTTTATATTATTCTACGGTAAACTGTAACGAGCGTCCAAATTCAGATACGACTAGTTAACTCGACAATTATTCACGTCAAAAAAGCCTTACCTCATTCTCCTTCGGTTCGTCCTGCGTACTGTCACCGTTCTGCACTTGGGCCGGTTGCGCAGCATTTATAGTTTTTGTGTTCGTCACCCACGTTATCTGCAAACACGATTGCTTATTCAAATGGGTGAGCTGGCCCTTTTTATCAAATTAATCTTCATATATTTCCTTGTAGTTTAGTAGCTGCATTAACCATTCAGTGTGCCAATGGCTTCTATTCTTTTAAGTGGTAGGGCCACGCATCAGTTGGCTGTTGCACGAATGGGCAGGTCCGTCCGGGGAAGTACCACGACCTCACAGAAGACGTAAAATAGAAGTATTATGCTTCTGCGTTTGTTCTGGTGAAGTAGCCGGTGCCCACTTTATTAAAAGGTGGCAACGCCTTTGCAACCTCATGGGTGTTGCAAGTCTCCATGGGCGGCAGTTACCACTTACTACCGGGTGTACCGCAAGCTGTCATCTTATCACACACAAAAAAAAAAACATTTCCCTTACGTATGGATATCATTATCCTGTGCTGCAAGAACGTTTTAAATACACAAATTACACGTGGACAAACACCCAGAATGGAAACAATTGTCTGTGGGTCGCACAGATTGTTGTCCGTGTGACAATTGTGACGATGCTGACAATGATAACGAAGCCGGTGAGTTGTTACCGAGAGGGTGCGGTCGTTGTAGTGCCTGGCGAGCTGCACGGCGAGCTCGGCCTGCGCCCTGGCGCGGTACTGCAGCACCAGCTCGGGCACCGCCAGGTTCACCTCCTTGCCGGTCACCTCGCCGAATTGCTGCGCACACGGACCGACATCGATATTCATTACTGGATTAAACTGTCTGTCTGTCTGTCACCAGACTATCTCATAAACCGTGATAGTCAGACACTTGAAATTTTCACAGATGATGTATTTCTGTTGACACTATAACACAAATACTAAAAAACAAAATAAAAAAATATTTAATACCATACAACAGAAGAAGCAGTTTTTATAAATAATGGTACGGAACTTCCGGAGAGTCCGACTCGCACTTGGTCGGTTTTTTATTTTTATTTCGCGACGTTTCGAACCGTTTACAGCATTTCCTTTAGTAATGTGTAATCGCCTAAATATAAGAAATTATTGTTATTTATTATATTGTACTTCCTTACGTTTATGCTTTATTGCCAACCTTAAATTAAAGAGGTTATGTTTGAAAATGCATCTGCCTCTCGCCAGATGTTGCATATGTCCACGGAGAGCGATAATCGTTTAACATCTGTTTAAACGCCTGCTCGCTTGTCAACTTTTCACATAAAAAAATTTCGCCGCAAGAATCGAACTCGCTTCTTCCGGAATCGCACCCATACCCTGTAACCACTATGAATCCATTTGCCCATCACTAACGGCACCGTGCGTTATATGTACCCTTATAACAGTGTGTATACGTAATGCGTGCGTACGTACGCACAAATGTACATGCGTTGGTGCGTGCGTGCGTGCGTGCGCGTGCGTGCGATACGTACCGCAAAGTGCACGAGCAGCGCGTCCAGCTCGTCGGGCTCGAAGCCGGAGACGAGCAGCGCCCTCGGCCGGTGGTCAACGCTCTGGTTCACGCTGAACGCCTTGCCCGCCCCGCCGCCGCGCACAAACCGCGCCCCGCCGAAGCGCCCGCCCCTGTAATTATCATAGTCGGCTTTTAACATTCACACATATTCCACCGATACACATTAACGTTTGTGAACGATAATTCACTTGAACGAAATGAGTGAGCGGGCCGCACAATATAGTACATACACAATAACTATTAGCACTTTATGGATATTTTATATAACATAAGTGAATATAACCGCAAAACCCTTATTTCTTTATTTGCCAACTTGTACAGAATAAAAACATGAAGAATGATTAAAAAAATATTTTGTTTATATTACTTTCGTTTTCCACAACAAAATAATGTCACTTATTAATTTAATTTAAAATTATTTTAAAAATAGAATAATAGAAATACAAACACACGTCAAATATTTAATTCTTACCGAAGTTTTCTTTTCACGATACGATAGCTTGAAAAAGAATAATTTACTTATAGCATCATTTATTTTAATTAAATTTTAGAATGTTAAAAATGACAAAAATAATATTAAAACACGATATGATACAGATTATAATACATCTCTACTAAAACCAGAAAACATAGATCCCCTTCCTAAAACCAGTCTAAAGTCATCATCATTCCAGTCTATTTGAGTCCATTGCTGAATATTTTCCCTACAGAAAGCCATAAGCTCCATCCTGAGACGCCTACATCGGTCAATTTTCATACTTATTAATTGTAAGAATTTTTATTAATTAATAAACAATCCAAAATATTTATCTCGAATAGTGTGCAGCATGTCGAACTATTGAGACAAATAGGTTTCAGCGAGACTGCACCAACCTGTTGCTTGGTGAACATATCCAGTTCCGCGTCCAGGATCTCCTTCTGCGCCTCCTCGCGGGTTTTCGGCGTGTGCCAGTCGAATATTGAGACAAATATCTGACGCCTCAATCCCTGCGGGAACATATCCAGTTTTCCAGGATCTCTCTTGCGACCTTCTCGGGTTTTCGGTTTCTTGACCTGCCATAAAATATATCTCATTATACAGGGGCTATATACAAAGCTTTTATGTACAAACATTTCTAAGCTTATTGAGTGTCGTTAACCTATATTCACAAAGTATATACATACTGTGTAAATAGATAGTTTTTGAAAAGAGTACCATTAAAATGTCAAGGTGCGTACATTATCGGTGTATTTTAAACAATCTAACCTAAACATAACCATCACCTTTCGAGGCCTATTCAAGACAAATTTTCAGATAAGCAGACAGAATAATATGAAGAAATAGTAATTAATTATTGAAAATAAAAACATAGCAGTGTATACTTAAATATAGTTTTTTTTTTAAACTACAATCACTTAAATGTTTTTATTGGTACAGATAAAGATTGCTTTATTTATCGAAAGATTAGTTGATAACCTGTAGTAGGTGAAGGTATCAAACAAAAACGAAATATGTATAAAGTATATCACTGTTCTGTCTGGGTCCTGATAGACTAAAATACCTTTCTTACGGCATCAGTAAAGTGTAAAGTGAAATTTTCCTATAGCAGATATGGAATGAGCAAAGAAGTTTTGTGTTCTCGCTCATTCCGTATTTATTACACATAACTGATGTGTAATAGTTATTTTATTTACTAATAATGAATATAGGATAAAGGAATGTTAATAGTTATTTATGTTATTACAACAAAAATATCCCAATCCATTACCTGTTTTTTATCAACAAAAATTATTATATCCTTACTAATATTATAAATGCGAAAGTTTGTATGTATGGATGGATGTTTGTTACTCTTTCACGTACTGGAGTGGATTTTAATGAAACTTTACAATAATATAACTAATACATCAGAATAAGGTATAGGTAATAATTAATAAAGATATTATGTGAATTGTCCAAAATATAATGATAAGTGAATGAATGAATGATAACAATAAGTGTGAAGTAAGTAGAAAAAAAATCTGCCATCTGTGAGCTATTCTGGTGTATAATAAAAAAACTCATTGTTAATTCCTTTGAGGACGCGGGCGGAGCCGCGTTTAACAGCAAGTTATTTATTTTATGTATTAATGTTAAGTATTTTATTTTTCAGTTTAGCTTTAATGGGGGCAATGAATTTGCTAGTTATTTTATCCTTCTAACTATCATTTATTCATTCAGACTGATTAATTATATAAAAAAGAGGAAGAGGAGGTCTGGTGGGATATGTTTTATATGAGCTTGGTTTCTTAATATTTAAAAACATTACAGGGTAAACCTTATAGTACTTTACAAAATTCTAATTTCTATTATGATTTATATTTACACTATTAGGTCATGTTTTTTCTACATATTAACTACAAACTGTATTATAAATAAAATAATAATGATATCAAAATAAATTTAACTAAACTATTAATACTCAATAATTTATTATTTTTACAGAAACACTACAGAAATACTAAATGAACTAGTTTACGGACTTTATTATTTTTTATTTAAATATTAAAAGCCTGACTTTTCAATTACTTTGCAAATTTCAGGGTCGTCATGGGACTGACACACCATAGACCACATTGGGAATTTAGTTTTATATTATATATGATAAGATTACGGATCTTATCACATATAATTTAAAGAAAAAAGAGTATCATTTAGTGTTCACTATTATTACATTTCTAACTTCACTATTATTACATCAACTGTGAAAAATAATCAAAAGATCCAATGGTAATTGGTAAGTCTAAATCTGATATGGTAATTAAAATATTCCGTTTCACAATTTGAACAAACACTATTTGTTATCTGTGTTATCAACTTTCAATCAATATGTACACTAGATTATGCTATGGTAATGTGATAGTATTAACCAAATGATTATTTATATATGGTATGGCTGTGACATTTGTGCGCATGCGATGTGAACATAAGATAAGGAAAATTTATCTTTAAAACCCCATCACTATAAATGTCTATTTGACTAGGATCATGTGCTAGTAATTACATCCAGATGTGATGTGGTTGGGTTCCACAATATTTTATGAACCAAGGCATGCAAAACATTATTTATGAGAAGTCATAATTTCACATAATTTCGTCATAAGGTCACATTCTTTCTTTAGTGTCTACGGGAACTTAGATAAGAGATTTATGTAAAAAAGTTATAATGTTAAAGTATCATTTGAAATTCTCTGATTTATTTTTGGAATAATAAATTTAATATAGCGATTTGAATAGTGTAAACTTCACGCAACACTTATCTTACGATATTTTTTCTTATTAGGTGAAAGAAATATAAATACTATATAGTTATAAATAAAACACAAAGTAAAATATCAGGCATACAAACCAAAACAAAAATATTATTTGACAAACAATCAAAACGAAACGATAAATAGACGAAAGAAAGCGAGACAAAATAATGCTGGCGATAGGAACAGAGGGAACAAGAAAGTAATAACAGAGAAAGCAAGTTCTTGTACTAGAAAGTATCTGGAAATTAATTTTGCTTTTGTATTTTGGATTAAAAATATGCTTAACTTTTTTTTCCTAAAATGGTTTCATTTTGTATGACCTAGCCTGAAGTGTATGTAACCAACAAATACGTGATTGAAATTTATTAAAAAAAAAACTGGGAATTTATTAGGGTTGCCAATATATTGTTGTTTTAAAATAATTATAGATTTTGATGAGTTTTTGTGAGCCTGGCTGTCCGTAACGCAATGCGATGGGTCCAAATGTAATTGGTAGCATAATGGGTGACCAATCCATATGTAATGGAACAGTGCACGCGAAACGCGTCCCAATACGGGCGAGACAAGATGCACAATCGCATGCGCACTAGTGCGGTACCTGCGCCAGTTGAAGCCGCGACATCGAACGCGCCACGCTCTCTTCCTGCCGTTCACAATTATCGGTTATTTCTCTTTTTTTTTACTACAACACTGTCTCTTAATGAAACAGCACTGTTTTGTTTGGTAAACAATTTAAGCCATTCACTGCATGGTTTAACAGTGGAATTCCGACATTTTCTTCTTTGATTTTTTTTTATATTACTGTTTTTATAATTCAAACCAATTGCCAACAAACAATTCAAAGTAGTAAAAGTGTAATTTATAAAAATACTGGACTGTTTTTGTACCAAAGGATCACTTATCAAATCATGTTCATTTAGTTAAACTTTATGCACAGTCTAGTACAAAAGCGGAATTAATGCACTTTGTGCCTTTCAAAAAATAATGAAAAATGAATTGTACCTGTAACTGTTTCATTGTGCAGTTAAGCTCCTTTCGCAGCTTCTCAATCGCTTCCTGTGCAGAGTTGATCGCTTCTAGCAGGGCCGTCTTCTGAGCGCCAGTCACATTACCTACAATATAGGGTAACATTGAAATAGCAAACAGACAAGCTTATATTTATTGTGACCAACAACAAAGAAATATCTGTTTCACTACATTATTAAATACCAAAATGTATCAAATATCCTATTGCTATGCAAATTCATACAAGAGGACAGATCAATTAGGTAGATGAAATAATAATGTTCATTTTATTATCATTGAAAATTATTAAATTAACTGTTGGATACATTATTATTGATGATAAGAATATATAATTGTCAATGGATGTTTTAAAAAGCACTCACCAGACTCAAGTCGCTGTATAAGCAACCGCTGCTGCTGCAACTGTGTTTGGAGCAGTGCTTGGCACCTCTTCTGCACATCTAGAATCTGCTTGTTCTTCTCGAGGGGCTTCAATGGCTTTTCCTTTGGTTCCTGGCCGTTTATCACTTCCTTTGCCTGTAGTTTCAAAGTAGAATTATATGGGAACCAATTTCAAGACTGTCAAATTATCACATGAGCAACAAAACATATTCTGCAGTAAAGCATGTACGTGTCATGAAACTTGTATTTAACATTCAGAATTTTTATTGCACTTTGTTTTGGTAGTTATATTAACAAAAAATATTGTTGTGTAACTTAAATCAAGTTACATTCAAAAGCATTGGAGTTCAATAAAATTTGTGCAGTATGAAAACTTCTACTGTGGTGAGGCCACCTAGTAGTATTTATTGTCATATTCTTACATAAATAAAAAATTAAATGCAAAAATACAGATATGGTTGGAAAAAAAAACTCTAATACAATATCTATGTTATTAAATTAAATACCTTTGCTTCAGCTTGTTGTTTGTTGTCAGCTGTTGCTTTAATGTTGTCTCTGTTGATTAGCACTTTATTATGTGACATGGGATGCTGAGAGTTTTGTCTGTCAGATTGTTTGTTCATTTGCTGGCCGCTAGGCGCCATGTTCTCTTGTTTGTTCTGTAATATAAATGGAGACTGATTATTATTATTCATAAAAGACTTCCCATTATAAATTTGCATGAGGGTGTGTTCAGTAGTGGGGATGAACCTACTGGAAAAATATTGTGTGATGAACATAGTGGTTTTCTAGTATCTGGGTGTTTATATATGTATTTATTTACAAAAGAAAAGTATGTTTAAGTATTTTAAATTGTTCATAGTGCTAATCTTTACACTTAATATTTAATATTAAAATATGTAGAAAAAGTACGAAAAGATTGTCGCCGCGTCGAATCGAACCCACGTCTTGGGCATTCGCGGTCTGACGCTTTAACCACTAAGCTAAACGGCTGATAGCCATACCGACGAAAATCTTAGCGTCTTTTATCTACATTGATACAATCTTTTCATACTTTTTCTACATATTTCAATGCTTAAGTATGTTTATCAGTTTTCTAGTAACCACAGTACAAGCATCGTTTAGTTTGGGGCTAGAAAATTTTGTGTAAAAATGTGTCCTAAAATATTTATTTTATATTTATTTCATTGCACAGAGTTTAAGGGTTACTTTTATTAGTGTAAATTTTGTTATTATTTTAGTTAAAATTCATATTATTTATAACAACACCATAAAACCAACATGAAAAATAATTGTCTTTTCTTACCTCTGGGTTGTGCCAGAAAACCTTTATAAACCTATTATTCAATACAGCTTCTGTACTCTTATATGCAACATTTGCCTCCGTCGGATTAGAAAAAGTGATCAATGCCGCTTCAGGATCCCCCTCAAAATTCACCTATGAAGTAAAAACATAAGTGTAAGGATAAAGTACCAATATTATTGGGTAAAAAGACTTAACTTTTCATAACATTTCTATACAAAATATGAAACTTCTATATATTAAAGGTAATTAATTGATATTTACTTTAAAATGATTGCATAGTCACATACTACGGAGGTATTGCATTGTTTCTATAAGAATATGATTTATATTAGGACTAATCTCTTTTTACTCAAACACGTTTTTTTTATATTTAAACATAGTTTTCTAGTAAATTGATTTTATAACTGTTCAGTTTCAAAATAAATGTTTTTAACAACTTACTTGTATGTTCACAATCTTGCCGAATTTGCTAAAATGATTGTTCAGATGAGTGATATCGTTTAGTCCACGTGGCACCTTCTTCACTTCCAAAGAGCAGTTGGCAGCATTCGCTGGTAGAGGTGGCCGAGCACCTAATGAAAAAAAAAAATATAACACATACATCAATTAGGGTGTCATTATAGTTTTTATTGCTTTATTTTGGTTATATTACAGAGAGCAAACATATTCTTCAGGAGATCAATTGCTTCATTATCATTACTTGCAAAAATATCCATGTTATTTCAGGCACTCTCATAAATATAAAATGAAGGCATAATCAACATTTCGTATATTTAAATACATATTTAAAAAAAAAAACATTAATTTCTAAGTATGGTTTCTTGTGAGTTTCTTGGATTTTAGTTTTAAAAGTATACCAACTTGAGATTCTATAAAACATAACGGCTTACCTAAGCGGTGGTAGTCCAGGTTCTTCTTAGGTGGGGCGTGACGCGGCGCGGGGTTGACTTCAGAGCGGGGCTCCGTTCGAGCATCATGACGTACTCTACGAAACGATGAAATTAATTCACTTAATACTTGCACACTACACATTGAACAAATACACATGATGTTGAGAAACTGTGATATTATTTAATGTGTTGATTTATAGGTGCAGAATAGATATAGGAGCACTCCTTGCAGTATCCACAATTTCTGCCGTGTATCTTCTTCTTCTTTTTTTGTTATTTTAAGAGATTGTAACAAACAAACAGAGATTTAATTGGATGTTTTTGTTCAGTTAAGTTGTTATTTGTTATTTTCCAATCTTCACGGTGTTCTGTGAGGTCGTGACACTTACCGGACGGACCTGCCCATTCGTGCAACAGAAAAAACTGTTGTATGGATGTGTGCGTGTGGGTCAGTGTTATTCTTGTGCGCATGTGTGCATGTATACGTGTGCATGTGCGCGCACCTGGGTATGGGCACGAGCTCCCTGGCGGGGTGGGGCCCGTGCGGGCCGTGCGCGGCGTGCGGCCCGTGCGGCGCGTGGGCCCCGTGCGGCCCGTGCGCGTGGTGCGGCGCGTGCGCGGCGTGCGGCGCGCCGAACGGCGGGAAGCTGGACGCGCCGCACCAGATGTCCGGCGTGAGGGGGTTGTACTCTGCAATTTAACAAGTTAACTGTTCAATGAAACGATATCACTGATAACAATAGCAATAAATAATAAGTATTGTTTTCTAATCCCAAACTAAGCAATACTTGTACTCTAGGTATGTTTATTAAAACTATACTTTTCTTTTGTAAATAAATACATATTATAAATATTTATCCAGCGCTGGGGATCGAACCCAGACCCTCTGACGCAAGAGGCGTGGTCACTGCCTATTAGGCCAATTGGGTCTTGTCGGGTCGGTCTCGTCGTCCTTTCACCATAGTCAAAATTTACATAATGTAGGAGTTTTAAATCAAGTTAATACACGTTTAAATTATTTTAATTCAAATTAAATCGCCGTCAGTGTTGTAAATGCACATAGGTGGCAGTAATCACTTATCACCAGGTGATCAACCCCTACTCGATTGACAACTTGTCACATTTCCACAACTATCATTACAGAACGCGTACCAATTGCTAGCATTGCACAAGCACTATTGCACTATAAATCAGTGCCAGTCTGTAAAATCAGAGATGTCAGAATAAATTAAATACGTCTATAAATACATGAACGTTAATTGGTGGATAAACGGAGTGAAGTTTTTTATATTCCAAAATATATCTTCAAACATCAGTTTCATTCAAAACTATTTTGTAAGATCCAAATTTTTAAGTGAATTCAGCAAGATATTTTGTGATCCAGACTATACTACATCACAAACTTAATTCTTAACCTATTCATTAGTCTAGACTGGTTAATATTAATAAACAAACAATAATTATTAAAAACTGACCAGGCACAGGAGGAGGCATTGGTAGAACTCGAGATAAAGTGGCATCTTCTAACACCAGTGGGTCGGTACCATGATCCCACTCGCAGAAGTCCCCTCGCATACAGTAGCCTTTCTCTGTAAAAGGGGGGAACAGGCATATAATTTTGTTTGTGCAGTGCACAAAACACTCAGCACAAATTCTTCTAATTCGAAATGAAATTCATAACTAAAGAAACTATAATAATCTCTCATTCATATGTATATAGAGACACACACTTCTTTATGATTCTCATATACATTACACACCTCTGATTTCTTGTTGGTTCTACATTGATCTGATTTCTCCAACCTTCCTCAGTATCTCACATATTTAATTAATATCTATTTTAGTGTTAAGGCTTGACCACTCAGTATTTGACCACTCAGTATTTTTTCTTCGTCGGTTTTGGCTTGATCTCTGTGTCAACCAGTCAATTTCACAATATAACATATACTGCATTCAATAAAGCTTTAATAGTCTACGGACTAAAAGCCATAACAGTTACAAAAAAAAAAATTACAGAAAAGAAATGGTATGCATACCGTCGTAGTCCCTACACCGCCGTTTGTACGCGTCGGGCACTTCGAGCCGTGGCGACGTTGAGCCCCGGGAACGGTCGCGCGATCTGTCACGGGACCTGTAAGTGGAAAACATTACAAATATTCGAAACAATGGATGTGCCAAACATTGCTAAAAAATGCTAAAAGAAAAGAACAATGTAGATAAAAGACGATGAGATTTTACGTCGGTGTGGCAATCAGCCGTTTCGGTTAGTGGCTAAAGCGTCAGGGCGCGAGTCCCGAAGATTCCCACAGCAGCAAAATACTTCTTTTTAATTAACAAAAACGAAAAATAGAATTTTATAACATAGTCTTATATACAATTGTAAAAAAAAACATTTTTTTACAAACTATTTCTTATATTTACGCTAACATTTTAGCCCTTAGCTTAAGATTTAGCAAAGAAGCTTAAATAAATAAATAACTTAACAGAATGTAACTGTCAGGATGGATTATAACTTATTTCTTTTTTATATATGTAATACTTTGCAGCATTCCGTCACAGGAAAGACCAAGGCGTTAGACAACACCAATGTTAACACAAATGTTAGTTTTTTAAATGTATCAAAACTTGTAGGATAAGTTCTCACCGATCCCTATCCCTTGAACGGGATAATCTGTCTCTGTGTTCCCTGTCCCTGGACATTCTGTCTCTCTCTATTTCGCGAGGAATGCGGAGTCTTTCCCTCTCGCGATCGTGATCTCTTTCGCGCACTGGTATCGGTGATCTTGACCTGAAATATAGCAATACAGTAATCAGAAAGATCAACAGTTGATCTTCACCATTCAATAAATACAATCAAGAATGTCACTTCAATGTTTAAAAGGTGTTACACAATACCATCCAGCTGCTTTGTATTCAATGAAGAATCCAATGAGATTCAACAGTGAGATCCTAGTTATAATTATTTATTTATATAAAATCTTTTTTCACAATAGCAGTGGTAGACTTAACACCATTAGGTGTTCTCTAACAGTCAACCAACAAATAGATAAAGTAAGGTGGTGCGACAGAGCTAAATGAGAAATAGTATATATTCTGACTAGCCTCCATCACCACAGGCATGGTCTTTCAATTTAGAAAATGCATATAGGAGACCGATGCCCGGGTTCTGAAACACTGATCATCATAGAAGTAAGCTAATCAGCTATCAAATGCTTTTCAAATGTTATTTGAGTTGCCAAAAAGATTGTTAAGCTCTTTGAATTGATTATTAAACATCTATGATATTCAAAAAAACCAGGTGTGAGTATTGTTATTGAAATTTGAATTCCACTACCCTTCCCAATATTGGATATTTACATATTTGCAGGGCCTTATCCTTTTGCTTTCAATATTTTTCTATTATATATATAATAATTTATATTACGCGCGTTCAAACTACTAAGTCTTTATCGCCTTTTATCACGGGTACAGCAAAAGAATGGATGAATCTGCCTGCTATATGATTATTTTATAAAAAATAATAACAGGTAAGTGAGTTTTAGATATTATCAGTATGAATGTACAAAAGTACAAACATAGAAACACCCTTAATTTTGTTATATAAACTAGCGACCCGCCCCGGCTTCGCACGGGTCTAATGTATTATACATATAAACAGCCCGACGAGACAGACTGACAGCGGGACGACTTTGTTTTAACTATTTAGTGATGAATTACAGCGCTTTCCACTAACCTAGACCTGCTAGATTGCCTCTCCAGCACTGCTGGCGGTGGACTCCTGTTCCTGTAACGGCCGCGCGGCGATGGTGATCGAGACAGAGGGCGCCTTGAATTCATTTCAATTTAATTATAACTTTCTACATCTCCTTTGCTTTGACTCAAAAGCAATTGTTTTACATACATAGACATACATCATCATAGTGCTTTTTAATGATTTCTTCTCTAGTAGGCTACTTAAGATATTCCAATCTATAAAAATTTATATAAGATCAAATAATAAGACCCAGACAGTCTTTGTTATCACATTTTATTTTATAAAAAACCTGTACAAGGAACAAGAAAAAAAAAACATGCTAAATTAATGAAAGATGATATTGTTAGTGTTTTAGTACAAATAATAATTAATAATTATGAGAGTGACTTCTATAAACGATGTTACAGCATACAAAAAAAATAAGCAGTTGCAGCCTAGAAACAACTACAGCACCATCAACTTAATTTTGGAATGCCAACTCAATCCATATACAATCGATCTAAACTAACTATACGGTCATAGTTTTATATTGACTGACTCCCCTGTTAAATACCTTTTTTTGATTTGTAAATGTTCAAATTAGTTTGTCAACTTTTGCGTGGTTCATCAAAGTCGAATCAATTCGTTTCTGCTACTTCAAAATTACCCCCGCGAAGGACATTGTGGCACGCCATGTCACGTCATATAAAATAAAACTATTTTTATGGATTTTAACGTGTTTACGCGACGAGGTTACCATTTGCGTTCGGTCACCACGAATGTGGACGAATGACCACGAATCGAAACGAAATTAAACGCGATAAAATCTTGAAAACAGTATCGTTAAATAAATCGGACAAGAGTCGACATTCAAATGCGTAAAACTTGCAAATATTTTTGAACATCTAGCGCCCTCTAGGTGCGGATGCATGCGACGGTTAGTAGGTGGTTAGTGGCGACGTTACCTCTTTTCGTACCTCCGGGCGTCATTCGCGTGGGGGGCGTGAGGGGCGTGGGGGGCGTGGTCATTGTCGCGCGCGTGCCTCCGCACCCGGCCGCGCCTCTCCCACGAGCGAGAGCGGCGACGACGACGCTCCTCTTTATCGCGCAGCTGAAACAGGTGTTGTGTTGTATTGTATTTGGGTACATGGAACGACCACTGCGACATTTGTTGAAAATCTTCAAAAGATAACCCTGTCACCTCTCACATGACTGGTTTACGAGGGGTTCGTACCCACTAATACCTTGGCCAAGTTCTGTACCTGTAAGTTAGGAGGGAATCCGGGTCCATCTACAACTGCGACCTAGAAGATAAATGCCCGGTTCCTATATTCAACGAACGGCCGTTAGTTACATAGCTTCGTAACTTTCATAACGACTTGTAGATTAAAGGAACACTAGTAATTCACTTTCCGAAGGAAATGAAACGGATCGTAACGAAAACGTCTCATTTTGTTAATATAGGAACCGGCCGTACACAGCTTTTATCTTAGCAATAGTCTTCCCATTGAAAACATTGTCCCCTTTAATGTAGGATAACTGTGTGGTAAGGACGTTTTACGTTGTCAAAAGCCGCAACATTTTTTATGTTAATAGTTGGCAAATGATCAGCCGGTTCACTTTTTGTTAAGTGATAACTGATGCACAGGGTTGGAACTGGAGCCCAATTTTCAAAAGGTTGTCAACGCATCTGCAACCCTCGGGTGTAGCTGATGTCCATGGGCGGCGTTATCCACTTAACATCAGGTGAACCGTCTGCTCGCTTGGAAACTTTTCACATAAAAAAAAGGTCAACAATGTCGTGGTGGGCCTTTACGTGATCGACGATCATCACGAAAAAAAAAAACTTTTCCCTTCTTGTTTAATAAATGCATATTGAATTGTTAAAAAATAGGTTACTTACAGAGTCGCTTCTGCGATCTCTTCTTCGCGGTATTTGATCCGCAGTTTCTTCGAGTAACTCAGTCAGTGGCAAAACCTGTAAAATGTACGAAATATAAAAACAAAAGCCCTTACGGAATAAATTATTAAAAATGACACAGACATTTTTCAGTTTTGATTACGTATTAAAAATTAGTTTGCCGCATTTTAAGAAATCACCCGATTTGTTTGAGGTTAATTAAAAGTGGGTGTCGTCTACTTTTAGTAATTATAGATTAAAGACGATTAAAATGTTATAAATAAATATTATTTAGCTCTTATGGATTAGCAAATAAAGGCAATCAGCTGTTTATTTCTTGTGCTTTATAGAGGAGGAGGCAATCGCACATGTCCATGAATATTAACAACACTGGACGACAAGAATCAATGAACAGACAACCATATCTACTGATGTTTTTATTTCATTACATTTTATGGTAAAATTTTGAAAGCAAGCAGATGGTTTACATTATGTTAAGTGTGTTATAGGCGTGTCTATACATCAATAACAATTGATGGATTGTAGAGGAGTTGTTAGAACACCTGGTCTCCTATACGAAACACAAAAGTTAGAAACATTTTGAATTGACTTAATGTAGACAACACAAAACAAGAATGAGCAAGCGCAGAAGCTGTTGCATTGTACTACCACAGATAAAATTTAAATGTAGTGTAGTGTTGTAGCAGAGGAAACAAGACAACCTGTCTCTAGGGATGTGGTTCGGGTTGAATTACCTACGGCTCGAAAGATACGGGTTTTGTTTACGGCCACAGCCCGTTGTGGTCGAATCGCATGATAGTTACGTTGCGAATTTTTCAGGCCTTTTATTTGTGGTAATTTTTTTTGGCCGCAACCTTACAGGCGATATTTTACAGAGATCAAAGAGGCGCATGCTGTTTCTTTGCTCAATCAGCGTTTGTGTTCTTTAGGCTTAACTTATACGTACCAACATTCACATTTTTAAACACCTAAAATTGTCGATAACTCTCAGAGATCTATACACCTTTTCAATATTATTCACATTATTTCAATATTATGCACTTAACGATTTAAAAATGTATAGATAAAATTGATGCAAGATTTTTCGAACGCTAAGCTCAGTGGCTAGAGCACCTGGACGCGAAATGCGGAAGGCGTAGGTACGAATCCTGGCAACGGCGAATAAATTTAGTTTCATCTACACATTTTTAACCTGTCTACCCACCCCGCCTGTATGTATAACCTTGAGGTCTAATCTTGAACTTTTGACTCTGGTAGGATTACGCAACAGCTGCTCTTCAGGTGTTAAATTAATTCAAACACAGAAGACCGGCATGAAGTGGAAGTGTTAAACTTTTGTATTACTTTCCCTTTCCCTTTCTGCAACCCTACGGGTGTTGCAAAAGTCAATGGGCGGCGGTTATCATTTAAAGTCAGGTGAACCGCCAGCTTGCTTGCCACCTTCTCAAATGTAAAAGATTATAAATTCAATTAACATAAATAAAAAAAAAAAAAAAAAAAAAAACAACCAACCGACCAAGTGCGTACCATTATCTATAAAACGGCAAATAGTAAAATCATGTCTGTTGTATGGGGGCCCCACATAAATATTTTTTATTCTGTTTTTTAGTATTTGTTGTTATAGTGGCAACAGAAATACATCTGTGAAAATTTCAACTGCCTAACTATCACGATTCATAAACCGTGTACGTAGGCTGTATCTCATGGATACAGACAGATGGTGACAGACAGCGGAGTCTTAGTAATAGGGTCCCGTTTTACCCTTTGGGTACGGTACCATAAAAAGACAGTGTTTTACCTTAACCAGGGTGTGCTCGTAGTGGGGCGGTCGGCCCCTGGGCAGCACGAGGCGGTGGCGCGGCGCCTCGGCTGCCACGGCGGGAGGCGCCGTCACCGGAGCGCTCGCCCCCGACGGGGACTTCGCCCCCGGCGCCGAGGCAGCAGTAGCCGCGGCCGCTGTAGGTCAAATGATTTGTAATCCTCCTGCTCTTATCAGACACTAGGTTGTTGCCTGTCTCAGGCAGATCCGGAACAATTAATCAATAGGGTCAAATAGTTAAATGTGGGAATCTAACCCACCACCCACTGTGCCAAAGATAAAAAAAAAGTTAATAAAAAACGATTTATCGTTACATTTCATTGTATCGTTTCATTTGTACCTATGATGAGCGTAAAGACCCATTTACAGGGTGCAAGTTTCTTGCCTGTTGTATACAATTAAATTGAAGCAATAAATGTGTTGCATGGTCTAAACAACAAATGGTCTAACAAATTATTGCGCGCAATTTATTGCATTCAATTATTGCTCTTGTATGTACAAGAAAATGGCATCGTGTAAATGGGCCTTAAGGCTCATCATAGGTACAAATGAATCAAGAGTACCTTCAAAAAGGAGAGTAACGCCTGCGGAGACTGTCCGGGCCCTAAAAAATCTACAACACATTGTGCTAACAATTACATGCCTACAATTGAGAAAGAAAAAGAATTTTCAAAAATTAAATTGAACATAGTAGCTATGTAGCGTGTCGTTACCGTCGCGACAATAAATGAACACACGTCTAACGCTACTTGCCAATAATCATAAAAAAATATTAACGTTAAACAAAATGCATAATTAAAAAAAAATATTTTTCAAACAAACTAATTAAGTAAAAAAGAAATAAAATTTGTAACATCCTATACAGCTCGCGCCACAGCGTCGCATTACAAGCCTCTCCTTCTAACAGCATGTTTTGTCTCTTTTAAATTCATTCAACCCATTCATATGCTTTGTGACCTTTACAAATGAACTTTACGTTACAGTTTTATACGTAAGGGTGATCTAAAATTCTTTGTTTTGGAAAATTTAATAACTCTGTAAATATTGATGTTTAAAGAATGTAAATTTTTAATACAATTTCAAAAAGTTATCCCCTATATGTGTCTTCATTTATTGTCGCGATGGTAACGACACGTTGTATATGACGGTAAATTTCGCCGCAAAAAAAATGTTATAATAGCTCGGTCGGTAATCGGGCGGCCCCGGTTCGTATCACGATCATTTACACACTTATTTTTTGTACTTTTTTTTCTATACCAGATTATTGCTTTCTTTATTTTATATTTTTTTATTTCCAAAATACATGATTTACCAAAAAAAAATCCATCCTGCAGGTACTAACTATAAAAAGAGCATGCAAGCATAGTTTAAATGAAAAGTGCGATGGTGCCTAAAATTAACCATCTCTCCCGCCAAAAGGTTACTCCCGCAAACACCGTAAATACGCTAAAAGTATTTACGGAATACTTTCGTTCTTATCGTTTAAAAGGCCTCGTAAATTTACACTAGTCCGTAAAATATTTATACAATTATTTTTTGCTATGTATATATTTATTGCTTGGTGTTATTATTTGATTTTGTTATTTTTTACTGAATAGTTTATCACAACTGGTTATCAGTTGAATATATAGTTTGTTTTTTTGGTTTGGTTTGTTTTTTTTGGTAAATCGTGTATTTTGGAAATTACATTTAGATACAAATTACTGAGTAATGAAATATGCATAATATTTTTCGATTTAACCGACGTAATAATAAGAAAATATGAACTGATCTTTTTCACAAAAGAAAGAACTTTAAAAAAAAAGGGAAAAAAATAACAAAATAACAAATCGACAAAAAATTAAAAATATAGAAAACAATGATCTGGAATCGAAAAAAAAAGTAAAAAAAATAAATGTGTAAATTGATCGTGCCGCGAACCACGGCCGTCTGTTTTGGGGCCGCCCGATTACCGACCGAGCTATTATGACATTTTCTCTTGCGGCGAAATTTACCGTCATATTCGAATTATATTTTTCATTCCCTGAAAACAGGGATAAAAGGACATTTTCTAAAAATGAAACCTAGCTAGATCGATTTTTCGCCCCCGAATCTATGCACATACTAAATTTCATGAAAATCGCTGGAGCCGTTTCCGAGATTCCGATTATATATATATATACAAGAATTGCTCGTTTAAAGGATAAGATAATAAATATGATATATACGTAAACACCCAGACACTACAGAAACAACTTGTCTCTGGCACTCTGGCCTAAGAGGTATGTTCAATAAATCATCAATATTATTTAAATTTTATTTTAAGTTTACAACAAGCAGAACATATTGAACATATAAAGTTATCTCTTAGGTAGTTTTAACATAAATTAGGCAAAGCTTGTGATATGGATACTAGGTATTTAATAAACATACTATTATTTGTAAAAAAATTATTATGTATATTTTTTTTTATGTGAGAAAGTGACAAACGAGCTGGCGGTTCACCTGATGTTAAGTTATAATCGCCTGCCCATAGACATTTGCAACACCCTTAGGGTTGCAGATGCATTGTCACCTCTTAATAATGTGGGCCCCCGCTACCTCAGTCAACAGACGAAACACGGAAGTGCAACACTTCTACAACATTATTTTTATTGAACATAAGACTTTATTATGTTTATGTTTATGCTAATTTAGTTAGATTTCATATTGTGTGTATATCATAATTTATATGTAGAAAAAAAAAATGTTGCTTGATGTAACAGTTGCTTTATGCTATCTTTTTACTATATAATAAAGTATCTTAGTTTGTGCCGAAAAAAGAAAAGGTTTATTTTTGAGCTATCAACTTATTCTAACATTTTCGCCTGCCTTGTCAATTAGAGAGTCTTGTCCTAATTGAGAAGAGGAAACTCACGTTGCTCCTCTCCATCCAGTTGTTGTTGTTGTTTCTCGTTCTCTGCCGGCTGTGATGGCTGACCGGCCTCCTGGTCGACACTGGCCTTCAAGTACTCCTGGCTTTCCAGCGACTTGAAGAGCATGTCCACAAAAGGCTTCGTCTCTGCAGCAAGGTAATTTTTACAGGTTCATTACAAGCAATACTTTTATGATTTTAAGGAACAGTTACAGCAATTTTGATAAAAAATTATATTGATCTGTAGTTTTTACTATGTACTAGATAAAATGTGATAAGTCTGAAAAAAAATTCGAGTTATGGATAGTCTACCACTGTGCAGTGGGATCTCATAGTGGAACTAAATACATAAGAACTTGTAGTTTGAGATGGGCTGTTGCAAGTTGTGAACAATAATTATTAATCAGCTATGTCTTATTGCTTGAATTAAAAGTTATGATCTGTGCAATCACATGTTATTTAGTTAATCTTTCATATTGCTAATCAAACAATATACTAAGACTAGGACCTCTGCAACTTTTATGAACATTTTCAGCCGTGCAATTACTTACCATGCTGAAGAAAGACATCCAATTGATCAAGCATGCCTTCTCGCAGCTCTTCAAGGGGCTTGTCTTTCTTTACTAGAGCATACACATACTTAGCTAGTGCAGCCGGGTCTGCATCGCATCTGTGGGAGCCACAATTGATTTAGGAATATAAGAATTCACAATGGTCATCCGGACAGAACCAAGGAGTTGATAGATGCTTCAAAAAGTGACATGAAAAAAGAGGACACAAACAGATTCAATCATTACTTAATCAACATAATGAACCAATAGTTAATATAAAATATTTTGTTTTGAAATTCATGTGGCCCTACATAATGTTGCAATAAAATGTCATCAGGCTTATGGTTATTTTATAACAGTGACACTTTGTTAACTATGTACAAAATATTGTGTAACAGATTTTATTATTCAATGTTGCCCAAGTTAATTCGTTTTTATATTTCTAAATAAATGAAATGTGTAACAGGTTGGTTCTTTATAAAACCAATTATATTATTACTTTAAACTAGCAAAGTGGCACTATCAAATTTCAAAACTTGATGTTTCTCATAATAACAAAAATTGTTAATCAACACAATCATCAATACAGAGACAAAAAAAATATAGATCTAGATTTGCTAGTTTACAATGTGGCCAGATTTCATAATTTTACAACATTTACTATCGATTATTGCATGGAATCAAGTCTTAATTTAAAATTTATGTTTTATGGGGAACACAAATAACTTCAAACATGAGTCATGTGTGGCAATAAATATAGGAATAGATTGACCGTGGAGGTTCAGATGTTAAAAATAGATGCCTAAACCAATGCTCCTGTGATCTGCCTGTGAGTCTAAATCACTATTTTAAGATGAACAAGTATTAACTTTGCTTTTTGTGGTAATACTATTAGTTTTAGAAAATGTGTATACCAGCTTCCCATTGAAGATTTAAGTCAAATTAAACTTTAAACTGTGCACTTGTTTAGTTGACAATAATATAATTTAGAATATATTTATAGGGCCTGACCAAAATCATTTTTCTTTTCATCATGTATGAGATTGTTTATCTCACTCAATAAAATGTGATAGACGGTTACCCTCTATCACATAGCTGGCATCAGCATGTATATTTTCATTAGCTATATCTTATAAACTAGAGCAAAAAATTATGTACAAATTTGTTTCCTCTTATCACTACTTGGATATATATATGTCATATATATCACAATAATTCACACGGATACATCCTACCTCAAAAGAAAGTTTTATTTTCTGATGAGATGCATACAGTTCAATGAACCTAAATTACCTATATCACTATATTTTATACCAATATACCTATTGTGAGGCATCGTACATATATCCCTCCTACCAATGATTAATAGGGATAAGTAAACTTATTTTAAACTTAAAAAAAATCAAATTAATTTTCAATATTAATCGATTTAATAAAAGTGACATACACTCGTAAACATTCTTAAAAGTACAAAATTTTGTAAAAAAAAAAAAGTTAACTCTTTGTGACGAATATAATTATTTATGTCAATGCACCACGCAAGTGAGACTAATTACGATAAAACTTATTACGAAACTGTAATTTGACACCAAATAATTTGTAACTTAGATATTTTTATTTTAGTAGGGAGATATCTTAGACTTATACAACACATAACGTTTAGAATATAACTTGGGATTTGGTTGCATTTAGTCCGCGGAGATGGACGGAAAAGATGGCTATAGTAAAACTACTCACAAGGGTTCCAATATGGACGTCAACCATGATTTGAAAGCGTCGGGGTTTTCAATAATCATTTCGCACACACTGTAATTATGTTATACACTATAATCCATGAAAAGACACTTGATATAACACGTTAATTATATTTTAATTTGCAAGGAATTCTTTGCAAGCGAATTTCTCGACGAAAGTCTCGTAACTTTTCTTCACTTCAGTTCAGGGGATCACGTCTTTTTCTAGACTTTTTTGCAACGTGCACAGATTAACTAGAAAAAGATACTGACCATAGCCTAAATAGCATTTTAACGTAAACGTCAAACGTCAAGTTTCAATAAATCATAAATATTCGCGGTGTCTATGAAAAATGTTGCCACACTACAAATGTATATTAACAATATTTTTATTTTAATCAATAAAACAACAAATGGTTTGATTTTAACCATGCCTTTGCTACATTTACTTAATGTTTTAAAATTAACTTATTATGGATATAGGGCCAAATGTCGATCACCTTACGTTGAAATACAAGACGTCAACCCCGTAATTGTTTATATGACTATAATATATTTATCTTATCCTTTAAACGAGCAATTCATATATATATATATATATATATATATATATATATTTATATATGATAGCTCGGTCGGTAATCGGGTGGCCCCAAAACCGCGGTTCGTATCACGATCATTTTCATACTTATTTTTTTTACTTTTTTGTCTATACCAGATCATTTTCTTTATTTCCAAAATACATGATTTACTAATAAGCAACTAATTAGTGACGAGTAAACCATTTTCTTACATACAAGAGGTTACCTCCCCGAGTCTCTTCGTTGCCTCCTTCTAGGTGATAACATCCTCGGAAAATGCGATTACATCACGCCTTCTCGCTTACTGCGAGTGTTGCAATACCGCTCAGCTCACGATACAATTCCGTCCAGGCAGGACACTCCACGAGCACGAGTTGAGAGTGAGCGAGAGAGTGTCCTCGGTATATACGTCACAGTGGTAGCATACCGTTGTGGGTTCCCTTCTCGTCACGCAAAGCAAATACTATACTAGCAAACCACTCGTGCCTTGAGAGGATTTCTATTCATACATCTTAATATAGGTTACCATCTTATATAACCATGCCATACGCCATACGCCCGCGTATGGCATGGTTCGTGACTGAGGTGCTCCAGCCTCTATTCCTACCTCCCAGTGATGTTTGAGCGTAGGCGATCCCTGTGCTCTCCAAGCCCAGGTCCGGCGTACGGCCTTGGGTTTTCGCCGTCTCGCACCAGGATCATCCAGATCTACACGTCATTGCACCACACGTGAGTACCACGCGTACAAGGCCATGAACCTTGTCTTGTATCTTGTATTAACTGATGTTTTTGCTTTCAGTCCCTAGACTATTAAAGCTTCATCTGACGCAGAACCGGTGGGCTAGCCCGAACCCACGGGTTTGGGCCCTCCGCTGTGGGTAGGGCCGCGCATGTGCTCATGCGTGCGTTTAACTATGACATGTCATCTAAGGGCCATCGAAGTTGCGGTGCGGACCGAGACCCCGATGGCCCTCGACTGTGTTTTTAGCTAATCGGTGGCTGCGGGCGGTGAGAACCGCCCTGGAACGCGGGTGTACCTTGTGTACGCGTTGTGTTGGTCTCGCCGTGCTCGGAGGCGAGGGCGAACTATTGTGTTTGTTGGTACACTAGCTGTGGGTGTAGTGTTATCCGGCGGGACCCCCGGCGGTGGGTCCGGCGTATCTAAGTCCCCTTCCTCGACCGGGTCGATGAGGACGTTTCGCGGGCGACGCTTGTTGACGTTCGCGTTTGTGTCGGGTTGGTAATTTGCTGCGCTTACCACCAGAGGGTTGGGATGATGTTCGGCTCTATCGAAAAACCATTTTGTCAGATCTTTGAAATATTCGCGAATCGTCGGGAGTCTACAATCGCTGTGCAGATCGACGTTGCGTTGATACCATTGCGCACCGGTTGCACGGCGGATGAACTTATTTTGTACTATTTGCAGCTTGTACAAGCGAGTAGGGTGCGTGTGGGCGAAGATCATGCATGCGTAGGACATAATAGGTCGTACGCAGGTCTTATATAATAATAATTTGTGCCTTAAGGGCATTTTACTTTTAGCGTTAGTTAAATTGTGTAGCCGGCCGGAGACGAACGCGGCTCTATTACGAATGTTATTAATGTGGGTAGTAAATGACATACGCGAGTCGAAAGTGACTCCTAAGTATTTGACCTTTTTCTCCCAGGGGAGCGGTTGGCCATAAAGGGATATTTGCCCCAACTTTGGCGAGGGCCATTATAAAGATGTGACGGGTAAGTACTTCGTGTGAAGTGAATCGCCACACTTTTTTCGGGATTTATTTCTATTCTCCATTTGCGGAACCAATCGCCGAGGCGGTCGGCGGCGCTTTGGAGTCGAGTGGTTAGTATTCTAAGGTTGCGGTCTGAATAAAAGAGCGCTGTGTCATCCGCGAAAAGCGCGAGATTGACGTGGGGGTCTTTGGGTATGTCGCTCGTGTAGAGCGTAAAGAGCAAAGGTGAGAGGCAGGAGCCTTGTGGTACGCCGGCCGTGAGGCGGCGGCTTGTGGAGAGGGTGCCCTCGACTCGATATCTAAAGGAGCGATTCAACAAAAAGGCCCGGATGATGTGTACGAGCCTATCTGGCACTTTGAGTGTGTACAGCTTGTAAAGCAAGCCGTTGTGCCAGACCTTGTCGAATGCCTTTGCGACATCGAAAAAAAGAGCCCCTGTACTGATATGTTTCGGGTGGTTTAGGCCTTTTAGGATGTGCTCCGTTAGGCGGTATAACTGGTCGGGACAAGAGTGTCTAGCTCGAAAGCCGAATCGTTTCGTGGGCAGAAGGCCGTTGGAAAATACGTGCTCTTTGAGCCTGTTTACTAAGGCAACTGAGGAGGCTGATGGGACGATAGCTAGAGGGCTGGTTGGCTGGTTTATTCGGCTTGCGAATGCCGATAACCGTGGCTTGTTTCCAGTCGTCCGGAAAGGAGCAACTGGAGAGTAGAGTGTTGAAAATGATCGCCAATAAACAGATAAGCGGCCCAGGGAGAGCTTTGAGAATTTTGTTACTGATCTTATCTGGGCCCGGGGCGGATTTCGGTTTTAAATTTTTAATAATATCTTGGACCTCTTCGGGGGTCACTGAACTTAAAGGATCGCCTTCCAGTGGAAGCGCAGCCCTAGTCTCGATTACACGGTCCACCTCCGTTAGGTGGACTGTATCGGTGTGTTCGCGTGTTGGCGTACATTGCTGCTCTAGGTTGTCCGCAAGGCATTCGGCTTTTTCGGAGTCATCTAGGGCTACTGAAGCGCTGTTAGGTCTAATTAATGGCGGTAGAGATTCTGCTTGCGGGGGTCTGCTTTCAGACTGCGGGCCAACCGCCAGTAGGCGGTGTGCGATGGCTCGATGTCCTCTAGGAGAGTGTCCCACGTTGTATGTCGGTGTTCCGATACACGATCTTTGACTTCTAGCTGAAGGCGTCGAAGTAGGGTTCGGTTCGATTCCGATCGGTATCGGTCGAAGGCGCGTTTGGCTGCATTTTTCTGTCTAATTAGCAGTCTTAGGTCGGGCGGAAAGTTAAACCGTCGGTCGCCCGACAGTTCCACCGTCCGTTCCGAGTCTGTGACTGCGGAAGTAATGGTTTCTCGGAGACTTGCTATCGCTCGATTTGCGTCATCGAACGTAGATATCGTCTCGGGTAGTTCGATTAAGTCCTAGGGGTCCAAGGCCTTGAGTTTGACCTCAAGACGATGCCAGTCCACTACGGATTTGGTCGTAGGGACCGCGCCGGCGTTCTGGCCCAGTTTACACAGGAAGGGCCTGTGATCTAAATCTAGTTCGTGGATTGTCTCTATCGACTCGATGTCGAGCGAGACCTCCTTGAATAACATGATATCTAGGATACTCGGTGTCGCATGTTGGTAGTTGTCCACCGTAGGATACCTAGTGGGAGTTGTAGGAGCGATTATGCTCAAGTTTAAATTATCGGATAAGCTAAAGAGATGCTTTCCGTTGTTATTTGGGATGCTGTGAATGTCCAATGAGCCGTGTTTGCAGTTTAGATCTCCTGCAATTATCACGGAAGGGCCTAAGTTGAGTAGCGTATCTAGGTCGCTTTGTAATAAGGTTTTGTTCCCCGAGAGGTAGGCTGAGACAAGTACAAGCGGCCTGTGGCTGGTGAGCGCTAACCTACACGCGGATGCCTCTATTTGACTTAGCTCTGGAATGTCGAGCGGGCAACAGTGCAAGGACCGTTTATAATAAATGAGTGTGCCTCCCAGACGGTTTGCTAACCGGTCGTGGCGGACAATATTGTAATTTGCGATTCTGGGATCGCGTACACTAGGTTTCAAGAATGTCTCTTGCACTAGAAAAATATCTACGTTATAATCGTGAAGGAATTCCGCGATTTCGTCCCTTTGACCCTTTATGCCGTTTGCGTTGAAATACGAAACAACCAGAGCCCGAGGTTTTGTTCTACCTGCGTTTGTACTTCCCATTAAGTTGTTTTTATGGGTCTAGTTAACGACGCGGCGGAGCGCGGTTTTATTGCGCGGACTATTGTCTTTTACGGTTGGCTCGTAAAAGCCCAAAGGGCTTCCACAAGCGTTTTATGTTGGCTAATTGCCCTAAGACGCTCGTGGCCAGATGTGGCGGCCGCTATTTTAGCGGACAATACGGCGAGTTCCTGCCTATTGATCCTATCTAATAAGCTGCAAATATTAGCGATTTGCGCGAATGGGTCGTCCTTGTTTTCCTTGTTGTCCGGATTACAGGCGCGGTTACCTGCGCGGCCACCTGGGGTTTCGTCCAGGCGTTTGTGACGGGTACGAGCGCAGTTATTAACTTATGTTTATAAATAATATAGCGCCCATAGTACAAGCTTTGCTTAGTTGTGACTAGATAACGTTGTGTAAAAATGTCACGAAATACTATTTATTAATTTACAAAAACAATTAACAAGACAACCATTATTAATTATTTATTATATCATTTGGGTCTATGTCGCCTCTTCCTAATAGGGACGACGTCTTGTCGGGGGCAGCGCTGGGAGAGATGAACAATTTATCGCGCGCGATCATCGCGTCGCTCGTAGTCGCGCCTGGATCGTCAGTTACTTTCATTGATCAGAATAGGTGCGGGATACATCCCCAAAGCTTTGACTAATGGACTTGAATAGGCACTGATTATTTTAAAGTGTCTGATCTACGCTTCTTTTAAGAATGTAAATAGAGTTGTAATTTTTAAATGCAATTCGGCGTTCCGCATTTGCCATGGGCCACTGGTTGCGCGACGGATAAATCGGTTTTTGATCATTTGAAACGGTTTCGAATAATAATCACGGACATGCACAAAACAAATACTTGCATGTGTCTTATTGGGATCATAATTGAAATCATAATTCGTACCGAACCTCGATGACCCGGTAGTTTGAGTTACAATAAAAATTGATCTTGCTCTTTTCTTGATCTCGATCCACCACTTTCTAAACGTATAGGTCACATTCCTGCAAAAAAAAGTGAAGCGTTTCAATCGATCTGTGTTTCACTCGCAAATACAAGTGCAGAGACCTTACAGGAGAAATTTGTAATTTATTAATAAGTGTGACTCCCACGACTGACATGACCTGCCTTTTCAAGCTTGAGTAGCTGCTATATAATTAGCTGTTATATAAATGGTGTGAACATTTGTACATTCTGTTATAATAATATACATAATACGTTTACACGTTCATCACGTGTTGTTGCTTTCTTCGTAACTGATTATTATATAAATAATTATCACCACTTTTGTATCGTGAAATATAGTACATTAGATACTTATAATTATTATTACTTTTGTTAGCTTATTATTATGCTTAAGTATATTTGAATAAACGAAATGATTTCATTTATGTAAATTTGGATGAAGTAAAAAAATATTACTAATACTACTTACTAATACTATTAAAAAATATTACTTCAAACTTTTTGCATTTTTAACAATGGGGCTGAAATTAAATTTCAAATGAATAATTAGCTTATTAAGTTTTAATAACGGTTAACTGAATGTTCTTTGTAAAATGTTGCATAATGTAAAGGAGGCACGCTAGATGGCGCTTAGCATTATTAAAAAAAATTCACGACGTGAGGCCATCGGCCGCATCGTGGGCGTGCGTGAAACTCAAAAACACAGGTTTGAATCCCGCAGGGGCGAAATTTGGATATAAAAATAAAGGAAATCGAGCACTAATTGAAGTCTCTCAGTTCTTACGTTAGACTAAGGCGTAATATGAAAAAAAAACGAGAGATTTTTCTGTAAGATTATTCCCTAACGAAATTTGACCTTCACTTATTTTTATTGATATAAATATAAATATAAATCAGTGCGATCTGATTATTAATTCAGTTTGGAAATGACGTTGCAATTAGGTCGTGGAGACGAAAACGTTGACTCAAACTCAGGAAGAACACTGGTGACGTATCGCGCTCAAAAACCTGTCCCTAGGCATGGCACATGGCCGAGCTAGTAAGGTCTATGACGTCGTTTATAATACTACCAAAACGGGTGTCAGAAAAACCCGATTGCTCGTACTACGTCGTTCACGACCATGATTGGAATAAGTGCAAACTTTTTTTTGTACACGATTACAATTAACTAAAGCAAGGATGTGCAACGCGCGGCCTGCGGGCCGCTTGCGGCTCGCTAAACATGTTTATGCGGCCCGCCAAGCATTTCTAAAATTGAATTTATTTTATCGAATTTCTCCCATCAATATAGTGTTATAAAATTAATTATAATAAAATGGTAGTACATACTGAACAGAAATATTTTTTGTTAGTTTTTCTGTTCTTTTCTTGTTTGTTTTTACCTTGCATTAAAATTTGTATATGAAATCTTTACTTTTTTTAATTTTATATTTCTTTATTCTAATATTAATTATAAATAAAGTTTCGTAAATTATTATGTGCGGCCCGGCAAAAAAATTTTAAATTTTAATTGGCCCATTAATTAAAAAGGTTGCTCACCCCTGAACTAAAGGATACTGGCGTATGAGTATTGCGCCTATTGTAAAAGAAAAATACTTTCCGCTTGGATTTAACTATAATGTCTAGCGAGATCAGTAATGCAAGCAACTATGCAATGATTAATCATAAACATTCAAACAGCCTAATTTCACCTAATAAAGATGTACATAAACTCAGAGTGCTGGGTTAACCTAAGGATATATTTGTTTTGTGAATTGTTTATACTGTGTAATTCCATTATTTTCTAAGTTTTTTATATCTTGTGGTTATACCGTGAATAAATGATTCTTTCTTTCTTCATTCTATACCTCCGATGTATAACTTCATACATGAACTATATTTTTACTGTTCATGAAGTTTACAATGGGTACGTAAACCTTTAGGGAAAGCGATTTTTAATCTTTGTTTTTAACGTCAAAAAACCGGTAGGTATTTCTTATCAAGGTAAATATTATTATTAGTATGAGATGCATAGTATGTGTGTAGCATTTTTGGGTACAGTTCACTTTCTCAGCCCTCCAATTTAACCAATCAAAGTCTGGAAAATTACCTTACTTAAACTAAACTTACTTAAAAAATACGTCAGATAGTGCCTGTGCTCTGGAACCACCTAGCGTGATTTTGATTCCGCAGGGATTAAATATTCATGTTTTTTTACCAAACTAGTCAGCGCTTGACATAAATCCCATCCCACCATCGCAATGAACAAAAAGGTGACGGCAACAAATTTTCCTAATCTTGCTGATTCGCAATTAAAACATATTCCATATAGAAATATGTTTTTATTGCGAATCAGTAAGATTAGGATAAGCATAACAGAAATGTTTGTGCATCTGGGAATAACTATTGTTTTTAAAAGGAAATGGGAAAGTCGTAATAAGTTTACACTTGTTTTTTAATTGAATGTTATATTTATTTTAATTTAATATATGCATATGTAAAATAATCGATTTCACATTTATTATTTTTAGCTTCTATCACTGCAAATCTAAGAAACCTTGCTATCTAATTATACTTTCAGATTATCATATTAAATATTACGTTGTTAGTTTGTGACTGTCCATTTAAATTTTAACTCTACGAATTCCTGTTAAGGCATATATCTGGTTTGCCAAAACAGACCGTCAAGGACTTTTTTCGACATTGATATTAAAACCGGTTCAATCGTTATCATGGGCTTTGCTTATTGCGAAAAGAGTTGTAAGTTGCTAATCACATTTGAGCGCGATTATATCAATAAAAGTTCATTGGGATCATACGATAACGACTTTAACAATGCAGCGAAAAAGCGCTTTAGATTTTTTTCCATTCGCTTTATGTCCCGACGTCTAATAATAAAGCAAGGACAGGTTTGCTTGACGCACGCGGTACGCTACAAAACATAATCGCGTGAATGAAGCATGTAGCTCCTCGTGTCCATGCTCGCTTTTATAATCGCATTAAATTAAACGGATGCTTCATTAGTTCCGCAAATTCGTTATTGGTAACTTATTAATTTCACTGGCTTATACGATGTGATTTTAGCGCCAATTCGATAGTTGAACGTTTTAAATATCACAGTCGATTGATAGTAGATTGGCGGGAAGACGTTCCATTTTTTTTAAATTTCATAAATGGTTATGGCAGTGAATAGTGTAGTGTTGTGTTTTGTGTTAATTTTTTGATGTTCATAATTGCGTTCTTCTTGGGAATAGTTTTAACGTATTTTATTAGGTTATTCATTCAAAACCAATCACATAAGGATTCCACATCAGGTATGGTTCAATTAATGCATGACATTATTAACTTATTTAGAAGTATTATTAATTGTCTAATTTATAAAATTAAATTTTTCTAAAAATAAATTATGTTAAATTTTCAAATTTTTATACTACATTACATAGGATGGCTCTTCCCGTTAATAAACGTTAGGTATTTCACTGAATTAATGTTGTAGTTGTCGGTTTCATTCGTAAAATACTAAACTAAATTCGACTTAGTCCTTAGTCCTAGAGGAATACAAAATTTTTTTAAAAATTACTAATATTAAAATTTTTTATTTATAAAGAGCAACTTTATATTGCAGGTAATTGAAATGCCATGCGTAGATAATTAATATGAATATTAATACTTTTATATAAAATAACTCTTTCTGAAGATACCCTTAATAAGTTTAGTGTTGAATTTAGAACTTAAATCAATATTTTTAACTTTTTAAAAGTTTCAGTGTGACTTAGCATAAGTTTTTGGAGGGGCCTTTATTAACATTGAATCGTGTATAAATTACAAGTAATGAATAAATAGCGTTATTTTGCATATTTTTATTGGATTTGTACCTATGCTTTATCGTAAAATACAGGGAGCGTGACTGTAACATAAACGTGAAAAGAAATATGATTTTATAAAGGACACGACATACAGTTGAAGACTTTTTAAATATTAAAAAATGTATGTTCGTAATTTATGCAACCTTTCGCGTCTATTAAAATAACTACGCGACAGAGATAGCGATGCAGTGTACGTAACTTAATTAGTAAAAGTACTTTAGATGATTGGAGTTATCAAATGTGTACCTAATATTAATTATTTCACTGAATTAACATTATTCACGAAGCAAATTAGTAACTATTATATTATTGCATATTATTTTATTTACCTATTGAAGCGACATGTTTTAAAAAGAGCCACCGTAGACGCTTTATTTTATTCTAAAGTGTAAAACCAACCAACAATAAATTCGGTAAATTTCATGTTGTTATATTGTGCTGCGTATACAATAGACATAGATTTCCACTTCATCTGAATTTTCAGTAACCAAGGGAATGACAGACGTAATAGATGTTATTTTTACTCATAAAAATCATAATCTGACAATCACTATCGACTTTGCTTTCTTTTGAAAAATGACATTCTAATATTTTTATTGGGTTGCACCATTTAGCAGTATTTGAATGATTTAGCATTTGATTTAGTTTTTCTGACGCTCCCTCGATATTCATCTCTTGACTCTTATCTCAATCGATATCACTCTTTTTATCAATCATTGTAAGGACATTATAAATTATTAAATGAGAGCGTTTTTATGGATTTTATTAAGTTTAATTAAAATTATGTTTAATTTTCAAATTTTTATACTACATTACATAGGATGGCTCTTCCCGTTAATAAACGTAAGGTATTTCACTGAATTAATGTTGTAGTTGTCGATTTCATTCGTAAAATACTAAACTAAATTCGACTTAGTCCTTAGTCCAAGAGGAATACAATTTTTTTTTAAAAATTACTAATATTAAAATTTTTTATTTATAAAGAGCAACTTTATATTGCAGGTAATTGAAATGCCATGCGTAGATAATTAATATGAATATTAATACTTTTATATAAAATAACTCTTTCTGAAGATACCCTTAATAAGTTTAGTGTTGAATTTAGAACTTAAATCAATATTTTTAACTTTTTAAAAGTTTCAGTGTGACTTAGCATAAGTTTTTGGAGGGGCCTTTATTAACATTGAATCGTGTATAAATTACAAGTAATGAATAAATAGCGTTATTTTGCATATTTTTATTGGATTTGTACCTATGCTTTATCGTAAAATACAGGGAGCGTGACTGTAATATAAACGTGAAAAGAAATATGATTTTATAAAGGACACGACATACAGTTGAAGACTTTTTAAATATTAAAAAATTTATGTTCGTAATTTATGCAACCTTTCGCGTCTATTAAAATAACTACGCGACAGAGATAGCGATGCAGTGTACGTAACTTAATTAGTAAAAGTACTTTAGATGATTGGAGTTATCAAATGTGTACCTAATATTAATTATTTCACTGAATTAACATTATTCACGAAGCAAATTAGTAACTATTATATTATTGCATATTATTTTATTTACCTATTGAAGCGACATGTTTTAAAAGGAGCCACCGTAGACGCTTTATTTTATTCTAAAGTATAAAACCAACCAACAATAAATTCGGTAAATTTGATGTTGTTATATTGAATTTTCAGTAACCAAGGGAATGACAGACGTAATAGATGTTAGTTATTTTTACTCATAAAAATCATAATCTGACAATCACTATCGACTTTGCTTTCTTTTGAAAAATGACATTCTAATATTTTTATTGGGTTGCACCATTTAGCAGTATTTGAATGATTTAGCATTTGATTTAGTTTTTCTGACGCTCCCTCGATATTCATCTCTCTTGACTCTTATCTCAATCGATATCACTCTTTTTATCAATCATTGTAAGGACATTATAAATTATTAAATGAGAGCGTTTTTATGGATTTTATTAAGTTTAATTAAAATTCTGTTTAATTTTCAAATTATTATACTACATTACATAGGACGACTCATCCCGTTAATAAAAGTAAAGTACCTATTTCACTGAATTAATGTTATAGTTATCGATTTCATTCGTAAATTGAATGCGACTATGTCTCCAACGCACCAGTTCAGATTCACCTAGCTACTAGTAGCGACCGGTTCCGATTTCGTCCGCGTGCAAATCAATTTTTACAACCAATTTCCGCTGGATGTAGAGCCGGCATATAAACGTACATCCCATGTCTATCTGGATTTCAGATTTTGGAACAATATTTTTTTAAATGGTGGAAGAAATATTCAACAATGCGCTGGTCACGAGGGGTTCCTCCTCATACACAAAATGTCGGTGTACAGGTGATCGGTATTATTTTAGCATGCTCGGGCAACTTGAGCCGATAGCTGCATAATTTTCGTAATATCACATCTGTCAAACCCCCGTGCTTGGTGTACTGCGCCTTATACCCTCTTGGGGGCCTTTGCCCAGCGGCTGGTGTAGGTAGTTACTTGTACAAAAACTTAACTCAGTCTAACTGACTCAGCGTCGGAAGACAATCGAAACCAGCAACACAATATGTGAAGGAGGCAACGCTAAGATGCTGACGAAATATTACAACGGAAAACTACATAATGTAGTCGCAGACAAGGATCTTTTCTTTAGAACCGAGTATCAATAGTAATAATGCGCAGTATATATTCCACGTTTGACACTTGACCCCGAAGCTCGCATAGAGGAATTAATTTAAAAATCCATTTCCCGACAGCCGTTGTGCCAAGTTATAAACAGTATATTGTACAAGCGTGTGTAGTTATGCCAGCTATAGTCAATAGACTGACACGATTTTGACGATACCAATATAATGTCTATTAATCGTAATGTAAAGAGATAGCAAGTGATGTTTATGATTTTTACATAAGACGCAGGTCACACTATCCAGGGTTAAAAATGTAAACCCGGTTGGGTTAATAAACACGACTCGGTGGCGCAGTTGTCAAGGCTGGCACCCGGGATCGTGGGTTCGATTCCCATACGGGACAACTTTGTGTTATCGATATATAGTTGTTTTGGATCTGGCTCTTTCTCCACGTGAACTTTACGTTTGTCAAATGTGATGACAAACTTATCCTACATGGTCAATGTTTATGGAAAAAAGAAGACGTGCCAACCTTTGAAAGACTTGGCTTGGCCTTGTTTACATTACAAATCAGACAAAAATGTACTACCAATTGACGCTACCTAGTCTTGTGTGAGGACATGGTACTTCCATAAACGTCTGCCCTTTCAAGCAACAGTAAAAATTGCCAACGTGGCCCAGCCATCATGTTCTCTGTAGGTACACGAAAATTCGACGCGTAGTGAATTTGTCACGCACTGCGCGCATGCTACGAGTAGTCATTTGTGCACGTAGGATATCGTAAAAACATTGGCGCACGCCAAAACAACAAATACTTCAATACAATATATTTATTATTAGTATTTTTATTATAGAATGCTAATCATAGGTCTGTATTCATAGGTCACTGAATTAAAACCTTTTGCTAAATGTTTTATGGGAAATGATTTTATGCCAACTAATCATTAATTCACGACCATATTTCGCACCTTGCTTGAGTACAGTTATTAACCACAACAATGTAATAAAACTTAAGGTACACACCTACACCAACTTTTAAATATTCTCCAATTGATCGCATCTTATTAGATGTTCCTGTGCCTATTGAAATCAGCTACCATAACTAGAAACCACGTTGAATGATCTTGGTTATAGATATCCCAAGAAGTTTTGCTAATTGCTCATAATTGCATTTAGATTTAAAAGCACTTTCTACAAGTCGCTGGGTTCAGCGACTATTCGGTAAATGAGTTTTAAGATACTGAAGTTACAAGTCCCAAACCCGTGGGTTCTGGCTAGCCCACCTGTACTGCGTCAGATGAAGCTTTAACAGTCTCGGGACTGAAAGCAAAAACATCAGTTAATACAAGATACAAGAAGTTACAAGAACGATTTTACATCAAAGATTGATTGACTTGAAGACAGATTAAAAATATAGTTCTCACTCTAGATAAATACTTAATTTCTATGTGGCAGACGTTTGATGAAAAAAAAAAAACAGGAACAACTATCTGGGAAAAGCTTTTTTTTGTGTAAGAAGGTTGCAAGCGAGCTGGTGGATCACCTGATGTTCAATGACAACTGCCGCCAATGGATATTATGAAACACAACATATACATTGCCACATTTTAATAAAGTGGGCCCCGGTTACCTCACCCACCAGACGAAACGCAGGAGCACTTTTTCACGCCAGTCTTCTATGAGGTCGTAGTACTTTCCCGGGCGGACTTACACATTCAGGCAATAGCGAAGCTGGCTCGCTTGTTAAAAATTGATTTCTATGTTAAAGTGTATGTTTTTAAGATCTTAACATTTGAGAAGCTACAC